GCTCTTATTTCTCAGACATGCACCCTCCCCCCCCCCCCCCCCCCACCGGAACAGAGTCGAGACACTGAAGGGAAGGACGCAAATCGAAAGACAACAATCCAGATCGACGGCCGCGTGGGAAGGACTTTCGATTTTCTTTTCATTTGTTTCGGATATTCCAAGCTGGGTCCTTCACATGCTGGGTGCCCGGGCTGGGAGCCGCCATGCTTCCTCATACGCTCATAACGACCACCCATCGACTGACACGGCTGACACGCCCCCAAACTCGTGCAGCACGTCCATTCGCATTTGCCCCAAGATGAGAGCTTGCCCTTTATTGACATTCTAGCTCTGCTGGCACGCGTGTGTAACAAGAGGGGGAAGAGGAAGAAAGGAGGGGGAAAAAAAAAGAGGATGATCGTGGGAATTCCAGTCAACCCTCGTGACCGACGTCTCTCCCCCTCCCAAGAGGACCGCGCACATGCATGTGCGATGAGAGAGAAACATATATACCAAAAACCCATCGTCATCATACTGTCCGTCTATACAGACCCCGAGCCGTCCCTGCTCTTTACGGACTCGACCCGACGGCAGACACAAAACAAGGCAGACACGCCCTCTCTCTTTCTTTCTTTCACCTTCCCGTCGTTTCCGTCTGTCCGTTCGTCCTCCTCCTCGCTGAAAAAGGGGCGAGGCGGCACACCCACAACGCCATCCATCCCTCACCGGCCGCAGCGCAACGTAAGATGCTGTATACGCACGCTGACCCCATTTCGATACCCAACGACCCCAGTGACCGGCCGCGGGCTGACCTCGAGCACCGAACCAACCCTGATAGAGTTTCCTTTTTTTCCCCATCCCGAAAAAAGTGGCAAGTGGCAGAGGGCAACCTGTCAAGGGTAGGATTCCCTACCGCCCTTGCACGCTGACCAGCGATGTTATTGAGCGTAGCCTCCCTGAGGCCCGTACAGCCTCTGTCGTTTCTCTGGCCGATCCTCGACAGCCATGCCGTCCGGCACACGCATCTGCTGCTGCATCTGGGGCGGTAGGCCCTGGGTCGGGAATGTCGCACGCTGGGCTGACGTTGGCGTGATGACCATCTGTTGCGGGTTGCCCATGGCGTATCCCGGCTCCATAGTGGCCACGTGGGGCGACTGCTGATGGATCTGCCCAGGCGAGTGCCATGAGGTCGTCGTCGCCGGAGACTGGCTCGGCGTGTCGACGCGGACTTGGGGAGGCAGGCCCATCGTTCCCATCTGCGCACTGCCGGGACCCACAGGTATGTCGTCGATCGGAGGCGCGTTCTTCATGAGATGCGCGACGTGCTTTCGCAGGATACGCAGCATGCCGTCCTTGGTAAAGGGCTTGGCCAAAACATCGTTCAAACCTGTGAGGGAAGGGAAAAGTCATGTCAGCGATGCAGTCCCACAGTGATGTCGCTACTAATGATGGGGAACTTACTCCAGTTGAAATAGTGACTGATATCTTCCGGGCGAATGTTCGACGTCATGGCGACCACGGGCACATCGGGGTGCACCTCGCGGATCAGTTGCGTTGCCGAGACACCGTCCATGTGAGGCATGACAATGTCCATGAAGATCAGATCGAAATACCCGGCACCGACTTCCTTGCACTTGTTGACAGCGTCGATACCGTTTTCCTGGACAGAGTCAGCAACCTGCTTCCTACGACAACTGTGGATTTCCTGTCACATACCGCAACCTCTACCTGGCACTCCATCTGCGACAAGAACTTGGCTCCTATCCTCGAGCAGGTCCTATCATCCTCGACAAGGTAGACACGCGGCTTCTTCGATCCCCACAGCGAGTTGTCCTGCGGCGGTGCTGCCCTGCCAGCAGGGCCTGGCGGCGCCGGCGTGGCACCGCCTGGTGGGTTCGGCGTTGCCGGCCCCGGCTCCTGCTTGACCATGGTCTGGTTCGGGTAGTCATTGGTGAGGGTCGGCAACGAGTTGAGGGTGTACGGAATGTTGTTGAAGTGGTCTTGCGACAAGGGATCGATGCCAACGTTTTCGCCAACAGGGTAGACGAGATGACGCATATTGACGTGGTCGGCCATCATGGGAGGCATGGAGCCCGGCTGGAACATGAGGGACGACGCCGAGTCGGGCGGCGAGCTCTGGGCGTACATGCCGTTGAGGCGCTCAAAGTCGCGTTCGACCATGGAGTTTGTCGTCACCGTGGACAGAAGCTCGCGGGCGCGGCGCAACTCGGGCGCCTGCTCCTCCATGGTGCCGCCGTTCATGTGGGCCGCAGCCTGGTTCGGATACCTACCAGTGCGCCATCGCTCGTCAGGACTGGAGAGGAAATTCAGAAGCTCATGCGTTGACTGCCTCTGTACGTCAATGGTCTTCTGCAGCGAGTGCACCTCATGCACAAGCGTCTTGTTGGCGCGTGAGAGCTCAACAAACTGCTCCTGCAGGGCCTGGACCTGCTGCTGTTGCGCGAAGAGTGTCTCCTGGAGCAGGTTGATGGACTGGTTGGTGGTGAAAGAGTCTTCCGTTGGCTGGGCCTTGCGTTGGGCGGGCGCCTTGCGCCTGATGTTGTCGAGGTTGTCTTTCCTGTCCGCTCGAAACGCAGCATGCTTGAATTCCCAGGCCTGACGACACGGTCAGCGATCGCATGCTCCAAGTGGACAGCGCCAAGCCACCCTCTCTGCTCACCTGTTTGCCGTAAGGCGACTCATTGTTCTCGTCGTTCCGTCGAAGCTTGTGAAAGTCATATTTATTCAGCTGGCGTACAAAGCTCGAGAAATTGCTGTGCTTGAAGTGCTTGGGCAGGATGTCGTTGGTGAACTTGTCCGTCTGTGATCGGGTTAGCGCACTGCAAAGCAAGGCAAACAGCCAGGGGCCAAGGCTATGCGATGTACCTCAAGGATGACAAAGGTGTCGCCCTCGTTTCCCCATCTCACAATGTTCGCGTATGCAGGGTCCTCGAGCATCCTGTAATGGTTAGCAGCCGCCGAGAGGCCATGGTCGTTGGACGGACGGCAGGGTGGACGAACTTGTAGAGCTTGCGAACCTGCAGTATCACTGTTAGCAACAGACCCGCCATGCGCCACACGATAGAGAGTTGATTTGGGGGCCAACGTACAAAGTCGCTCGAGTTATTCCCGCCCTGTGCGGCGCCATCACCTTCGGGAGGCATGATGCGTTCTCTGGCGGGAAGCGAACTCGGAGTCGTTCTCGCGCACTTCGGGTCGCGGCGCAGAGGGCGCGAGCGACAAAAGCCCGGGAGGTCGGTTGGTCGAAGGTCGCGACAAGGCGTGCGAGAGGACGTGCGAGAGATGCTCCGAAGAAAGTCTGGGTCTGGGTCGTCGGTTGTGCCGTGCTGTCTGCGAGTGGATGGAGTCGTCAATCGTCGTCGAAAGGAGGGTCAGGGTCTCGGTCTCCTAGACTCCGCCGAGAGAGGTTTCCAAGTAGCCAACGTGCTATGCTTGTATCGGCAGCAAGCAAGGCGCGCGGCGGGTAGGGTGGGAGGAGAAGGAAGAATGCGGGCGGCTGGTGCAGAGGCGGACTGGGCAATTCACTAGCAATGCATTCCTCGCCAGGCCGATGTGGGTATGTCGAGGCGAAGCGGACCGCAGGTGTATCGGGGACTGGCGCGGATGAGACGAAGAGTGTGCCCACGGGTGTGTCGTTTCCAGACTGAAGGGAAACGGACGCGAGAGGCAGGTAGCGAACAAGACAAGACTCGGCCGACAGGCGTGGTAGGGTAGGAGAGATAGCGGCGCTTGGTGGGTGGGTGGATGGACGGAGGGATGGGCAGCGGCAAGCAGGCGGCAGGACTCGTTCGCTGTGGTAGGTAGTCAGCAGCAAGTAGCAACGTAGTAGCAAAGCAGGTTCTCAGACCCTGGCACTGACGCCGGGGTTTTTTGCTTGGAAACTGGAGACCAGGTGGAAAGGAATGACCTGCAAGTGGAATTGGCGGGTTAGGATGAATGGTGATCCCTCTCTCTCTCTCTGTCTGCCTCTTTCGGCTACTCTTCTTGCTGGTGGACCGTCCCTCGTGCTTCCGCGGTTTCGTGCTTTCTCGTGTTAGGGTGTTCGGCGTGCAGTCGATGTATAGGCCTTGGCTGCCTTGGGGACCCTTGCTCGACCCTCTTTCTCTCTCTCTCTTTCTGTCTGTCTCTCTTTCTGTCTCTCTCTCGCTCGCTCGCTCGTCTCGAAGTGGAGCGACCAAGGTACGCGTGACGGGGAGGGGGATACGGGGTTCAATGTCGATAGGACAAGAGTCGAGAGGGCCGAGAGACAAGACATGATGGTCGCCCTTACACCCTCGCACTGGGAGGGGACCCCCAAAAGCGCGGAGGGGGGGGGGACTAGCAGGCCCGGCGGAATTGGGTGACGAGACGACGAGACGATGGAGGAGGCAGTGGCTGAGATCGATTGCTGCGCCGTGCCCCAGGTGAGGGAAAATCTCTGGGGATCGGGACCCGGTTTCCGAGACACCGATTGGCTCACGATCCAGGTTGCGCTCTGAGAAGAGTGGGGGATCACAGTGCTCGACCAATGCCTGGTCCGTGCCAGAGAAGCCCCGGGAGCACTGTCATGGCATCTCCTTTCCGAATCTTGGTACAGCGCCCCCATGTACTCTTGACTCCCTGAGTCCGCCTGCGAACTACCTATCGCGTTTTTTGGGTACCTCATGTTGTCAGGTAGCTGCCCGGCCCCCCATCACATCACCCTAGGAAGCAGGGCCCTATGGTTTGCCTTGGCTTGGCCAGCCTTGGCTCTTCAAATGCTGGCTCCCAAACGCCCTGTCCTGTGCCCTCCACGAGATACCTACCTACCTTACCTTACCAAGGTAGATAGGCAACTACCTGTAGGCGGGCAAGGTAGGTAGGTCGATTTCTGGCCTTCATCAATCTCATTACCTCGGGGCACCAGTTCGCGAAAACCCCCCCTCGTCCCCTCCCTTCCTCCCTCCTCCCTCCTCCGTGGTGGCGCCGAGGACGTGATGGATGGCGAGAAAATGGCGAGAAAATTTGCCGTGAAAAAAAAAATAAACTCCCTGCACCCATCCGATCCCATCCCCTATTCACCCAGTCCCCCCCTACATCCCGAAAACCCATCCCTATCCCATCAGTCTCTCTCTCTCTCTCTCTCTCTCTCTCTCTCTCTCTTGAGCCCAGTCTCAGGGCACGTCCCGGCCCCGGGGTACGCCGCAATGGGCCCTGCATGGAAGGGATGGAGACGAGTACAAGATGATCTCTGAATCGTGAGACTTTTTCGCTTCCCATGTGAGATGAGATCCCGCCCCTCTCCCCAGGGTCTGTATCTTGTCGTCTTGTCTTGCTGTCTAGCGCCAGGTGTCTGGTGTCTAAGGCGCCCAGCGTGTGCCAGCTCGATCTCAATGTCTCACCGAACCCTCTCCATCGCTGGCCGTCTTGGGATTAGGACTCTATTGATGCATCTGCTCCGAGTAATCAGCCTTGCTATTGTCCCAGTCGAGACCAAACCGCTTCCGACTCCCGAGCGATCCAACCCGTCAGCTCTGCTGCCCCGTCTGGTCATGCCCCGGAGTTACATCATCTTGCTCCGGGCCAGCATGCAACACCCCCCGGCCCCAATGGAGCGGGAAACATGGCAAGCGCTCAACCCGCTACAGTAGTCCATCCCAACAGGTGAAAAGATCGACCGTCTGTGGCTGGCGGACTTGCGCTGTTCACCTGGTTCCTGTTTGCCGTTCCAGGACATTGGGGGTGCGTGAGAATGTGGAGGTTTGCCAGACGTCCTCGCCGTTTTGGTGAGACCGGTTGACCGCCAGCCGGGCACTAAACTGAACATGGCTTGGGCGATACCAAGCCCAATATCCCAGACAAGCTTGGAGGCAACAGACTTTTTTTTTGGCCCTTCCTCTGTTTGTTGCTGCCCGCTGCCCAATTTTTTTTTTAATTCGTTTTAGCCGGCGCACATACACAGATGCCCTCGATGGGCAGGTCGTCAGTGGGTTGCTCTGGATCGTGCACCGTACCTCGCCTAGGTCAGCGATGCGACAATGGCCAGGCACCCCCGAACGCCTCTTTTTTTTCATGAAGTTTTTTCATTTTCCTTCTTCCCTCATTCCCTACCTTGTTCTCAGCTGCCACTGCACTCCGATATATCTCGGCAATGCGCTCTCTCTGCCTCATTCTCCGCCTCTCTCGCTATCACGGTTCATTCACCCTTGTGCTCATGGAAATGTTCAGGGGTGAGTGACATGACACCTCTTGGGCCTCGATGTGGAACATGCGACAGGGGGCCAGGGCGAAGGTCAACAACACCACGTCAACAAGGCAGCTGATCGGCCACTGGTGCCAAGCCGAATGCAGGCTGGTGCGTTGTCCCCAGGAGGTATGACGCCATCAATACATATCGCCTCATACCGCCTGGCGCTCCAGCGTGCCTGGTTTGTCGTTCTCTCTCTCTCTCAGCTTTCATACTCACTCTCTCTCAGCCCCCGCCCCCCCTTAAGCCTTTCGAGGTCGAGCCGTCCCCCGCTTCACCCGATCGGACCGGGCCACCTTTGGCCGGAAGCGGCCTCGAACACAAACCAAGCCACCAGGACCCCGAGAGTCATCGCCCGGGTCGGTCTTTAGGGGTTTCGGGGACCCAGGGCCTAGACCGCCCATTTCCTCTCCACTTCATCCGTGTCTCGCCGCCGCGACCGTCTTCCTTCGGGCTTGGGCCTGTCTGATGCTGCGTCCTCTTGAAATTGATACTGTGATTGATGATTGCGACAAAGACGGACAGCTTTCGTTTGAGCTGCCTTGAATCTAGGCACGCACCCATGCGCGCATCAATGGTTTCCTCGTCGTAGTACACATGGCATGTGATGAGATGTTGCATTCAGCACGCCTCGAGCGATATCTAGGCTATCCAATTGAAGCCGTATCTTGTAGTTGCAGGAGGTAAACAGGCCCGAATAAGCATCTTGGAACAGCATGGCGTAGAGGCTGATACAACCTCACTCGCTCAAGGGTGACTCACGATGAGGTTGTCGGTGGATGTGAATCGTGAGGTCGGAACGGCCGCTTTTCGCCGATACAGGCCTTAACGCGTATCCCGGCTGTCGAAATCATGATGGAGAAGGCTTCATCAGCCGACAATGTCGCCTAAGCATGGGTACACCCTGGAGCATCATCTCATAAGGGTTCTGACGACTAGAGCGCCATGTGCTTAGCTGTCAGGCCGACGTTGATACAGTAATACATGTGGCCGTCAGATCGCCCCATGTAAGAGCTCTGTGTCTCAAGCAAGCTCAGCAAGCACTGCATTGATACACACAGGCAACGAAGACCAAACTTGCGAAGACGTATAAATGAGACATACAGGGAACCTGGTCAGAGATGGCGAAAATTGGAAGTACAGTCCTCTGGTGTCGAGTAAGAAGTGTGGGGAAAAGGCGCCCAGGCTGAGGAAGTTATCAAGGATATGCAACGGTATTTATGAATGGAAAACGACCTACGTACACACTTCAACTGCAAGCTGGGCCTGTGTGCAGCTGATATTGTACGCTGTTGTCGAATAGGGGTCGAGAGGTCAGAAACTATCAGGGGGCATAAACTTGGCGAGCTGGCGGGCTGACGATCTATGGAGTTTCAAAAATTGCACTTCAAGATAGCGGAGGCATGTAGGTTTCAAGAAAATATTCTCGCCGAAGCGCAAGAAGTTTACTCAACATGCCGTGCTGGGGCGACACGTACTGATATCATTGGCTTGTTGATTTGCTTGCACCATGATGATCTCAATCGGTATGCATCTACATCACTTCGTTCTCTTCAATTATCCATTTCGGAAGACCTGTCTCCTGGAAAATAACCGACAGTCGCGTACTTCCTCGCAACAGCTAACAAACCAATAACACCTCGCTGTCTTAAAGAACCGCTATTGGCTTTGCGCAAGTTATATAGCCTATTTTCGTGCTTGTGCAGCTCCGTGACGAGCGGGCCTGTCTTGGCAATGTCGATCCTCCTGCAACGGTTGGGCAGCCGTCCTCCTTCCAGAGCAATCGCTGGAAGTTGGTAGATAGGGTGAGCTCGAGGCCTCCAAGAAAAGAGCTTTCTTGCGGCACAGGGCAACGCAATGAAGAGTCCCTCTCCCACAACCTCTCGAGCCCACGTCGACTCAAATCTTCCACATTGCGAAGCGTATCCGTGTGAATAG